CTCACTTAGGCAACTTTTTTATTCTGCCTAATAAGGGCGCCTTATTTTAATTTTAGAATTATTTTAAATCTTTTTTTTTTTTTCTCTGAGATGGAGTCTCACTATTACCCAGGCTGGAGTGCTATGGCATGATCTCAGTTCACTGCAACCTCCACCTCCCACTTCAAATGATTCTCCTGCCTCAGCCTCCCAAGTAGCTGGGATTACAGGCATGCACTGGCACACCTGGCTAATTTTTATATTTTTAGTAGAGATGGAGTTTCCCCATGTTTGTGATCTAGAACTCCTGACCTCAAGTGACCCGCCCACTTTGGCCTCTCAAAGTGCTGGGATTACAGGTGTGAGCCATCGTGCCTGGACTATTTTAAATCTTGAGATGGAATTATGTTAATAATTCTAAAACCTAATACGATTGAATGTACTCCCCAAATTTAAAGAAGCTAATCTAATATTGTCATAGTCCAAGTATAAGTTGCAAGCAGTTGTAGCAGGGAGAGTTCCAGAGTCGGTCAGCAGGGTTGAGATTGATTTGTCAGTCCCAGAGTGGGCAAGGGGTCCTGAATGGGGGGTGGCTGTGTGCCACAAGGTTGTTGAAGAATCCAGCTAATGGGCAGCTTGACATTTACAGCATGTGACTTCCATCTCTAGGTCAGTGACAGCTGATCCCTCAGCCAGCAGCAAGGGAGAAAGATTGGAAGGCAAGCAGCTTTCTGTAAAGAAAAATAATAAAAGTGATCTGGAAGTTGCATACATCACTTCTACTCACATCTTATTGGCCAGAACTTGGTCATCTAGCCATATCTGGCTACTAGGAAAGCTGCCAGGCATCATCTCTAGTTGGGCAGCCATTTATCCAGCAGGAATGGGAGGCTTCTCTTATGAAAGTGAAGAAGGGAGGAATGGATCCTGGAGCACCTCAGCATGTGTGCCGCAACTCTGATGCTTTGACGGCTCCCACAGCCCTCAGGACTGAGGCCAGATGGCTCTGCATAGCTTCTGGGGCTCATAGTGATCTGGCCTCTTTTTTTCTCTTCGGCTTCACTTGCCCTCTACCCAGCAAAGTCCCTAGTGACTTTTCACATTCTGAATATGCCTCTACCTGTGCTGCTTCTCCTCATTCCCCCAAATCTTCTTCATCCCACTGGGTTTAGGACCCTTGGTATGCAGGGCCTCTTCCTGAGTATGCACTCACTGAGGGCAGGCAATGTGTCCTGGCATGGTACCTCATCATCCACAGTATGTGCTCAGTAAATGTTTGCAAGTGACCATGTTGCTGGTTTGTTTACAGCATAGCAGAGGAACAGCCATCCCCCAGTAGAGCAGGGTACCTGCCTTTTTGCTGAGTTATCTCTAATCCTTTGCACTTGTACCCTGCTAGCCAAGCTGAGCAGTTCGCCATGTCTGGACACAGTCAGTTTGAGCTCTATGCCTCTACTGCCCATCTCTGGCAAAACAGTCTAAGGGTGGATGCTGCCTCCTCCATGAAGCCATCCCTGTCTTCCGCACCCCTGCCAGTGGGTAGGATCTCTTTTGCCTTTTGATTTTGTTTACATTTTGCTTATATGACTCTTACCTCATTGTAACTTGTATTGTAATATAGATAATGGACTCATTGCTCACACTTCTCCCCCAAATAGTGAATTACGTGCTGCTTCAAGACTGGTTGCTAGCTGACTATGGCATATCTCTTGCAGTACTTACCACTTTCTTGCATAAAGGAACCCCCTAAATGTTGAGTGGAATTGTTTCAGCTTCTTGCAAACTGTAAATAAGTTAATCTTTAGAAAATTAAGCTAACTTCTAGATGTCAGTAAAATGGAGCAGCATTGTGGGGAATCAAATCAGCAAAGGTTTATTGAATGCTCATGTTGTCCCAAAGACCAGCACCTTCCTGTCCTTCTGTCCTTGGAGTGTGAGATGCCATGAGCAAGACAGACCTGCCCTGCACCTCCTGCAGCTCAGGGCACAATGACCTGCCAGCCTGGGGAGCTCCTGAGTCCCCTTCTCACAGCACTGTGGCCTAGGCAGGTGTTCTAGCTCACTCAGCCCTAGACAGATTGCTTCCAGGTAACATGGGACAGATACTCCTGCTGTGCGGGTTATTTGATCAGCTGTGTTTGTTCAGCATCTAAAGTGGTGTGGTGTCCCTGGAGTCACTCCTGGCCAGCATGCTAACACATCTTGGCAGGAGTGGTCAGACTAGCAGCCATGCAGCAGCCACCACCTGGAGGATGGGGAGAAGACTGTGGGGTAGTGGTCACTTGGAGAAAGTACTAATTTGACTCAGCTTTATTTAGATTTGTTACTAATCCATTTATTTCAATGTTTAAGGAAAATCCTAGACATCATTGTGTTGAAATACAAATCATCACCACAAAAATCTCATTGGGTTGACATTAAATATTAGATACTAGAACATAAAGGCAGGGGATTTGACAGAGCTGTAGAAAACTTAAAGTCTTAAAAAATATAGAATGCAGGCCGGGCACGGTGGCTCAAGCCTGTAATCCCAGCACTTTGGGAGGCCGAGGCGGGTGGATCACGAGATCAAGAGATCGAGACCATCCTGGTCAACATGGTGAAACCCCGTCTCTACTAAAACTACAAAAAATTAGCTGGGCCTGGTGGCGCGTGCCTGTAATCCCAGCT